GAAAGTCTAAATGGAAAGGGATAGAGAAAGGGTTTTTACCTGTCGGCTTCTTGAATGAGCTCTAAGTTGGCCCCAATTACCCTTTCTTTGTCCAGTATTGACCGAGATTCCTGGCACATATGGGAACAGACAATGGGATGACTTTTGAATTTGGTGAGAATACTTTAAAAAGGAAGACTTGCTGGAGAAGACTTGGTGAAGAAGACTTGCTGAAGAAGACTTGCAGAAGAAGACTTGCAGAAGAAGACATTCTTATTTAACCCTTGAAGTTAGTAATTGTAAGTCTCATTCTTGTGAGCTCAATTCTTAGTCTGAACAAGGAAACGTTGGTTAATGAAGTCATGATCAATGACGATGATCAATGACGATGATCAAGAACTCATGTTCAATAACTCATGTTCAATAACTCATGATCAATAACTCATGATCAATGAACTCAATGATGTTCATTACACATTGATAGCTCTAGATTTTGGCTTTGCATCAGTTTACTGTGTTTTGATTGTAAGCAACTTCTTTGTCTGATTGTAAGACTTTCAGTCAGACAAGTTTATTTGTTAGTCAAGTAGTGACACATTACAGAAGTCAATAGTGATTCTATTTGAATAGTTCAGAGCTGATACTCTCCCTGAACTTATTCCCAACCAAACCAATTGGTAATAGGAGGAATTTGTTGATCACTATCATCATCATCGCACATAGAAATTACTGTCAGCGATAAGTGGCTGAGAAATGGGAAAGAAGAAGAGGGCATATCCGGCTGTTGACTGTTGTGCAACATGACAACCCCCTTTTCTCGATCTCTTCTCTTCCACACACTGATCTTCCACACTGATTCTTTCACTCAAATGATTGACAAGATAACAATATTGTATGTCTGTTGAAGAAATTCTCTTTACAACAGTTTTTCTCTTTCATTTTGGCTAAGTTTCTAATGTCGAACTGTTGAAATTGTTTCAAAATCTGTCTCCTGTTGTTCAAGATTTGTTCTGTTTCAGTTTTTTTTTCAATAATTTTATTCAAAGACCTATTTTGCACTTTATTTAGAGTATCAATTGCGTAATTTCAAGGTTTTAGTGTAAAGAATTGGTGAGAAGAGAATAGTGAAACAGATGGCGGTGTGTCAGAAGTGAAAGAAAGGGGAAAGAAATGGATGAAGAAAGTGATGAGTGGAATGGATGTGAAAAAGAGGAATGGATTGGCTAAGCAATTGGTTGAATAAGAGAGATCTAGTGAAAGAATGAGCAGACGGGGATCCATGACGGAGAGCCCAGCGGGATTCCCATAGGGCGGCTTGAAGAAAGATGGCTCGAGAAACTGTTGTTTGAAATAGTTGTTTAAAACATAAAGTTAAACAATATAGTTTAGTTTAACAATATCAATAGTTCGATCTTTTCTTGGAAAGCTTTTCTTTGGAAGCTTTTCTTTGGAAGCTTTTCTTGGGAAGCTTTTCTTGGAAAGCTTTTCTTTGGAAGCTTTTCTTTGGAAGCTTTTCTTTGGAAGCTTTTCTTGGAAAGCTTTCCTAAGCAAGCTTTTCTTGGAAAACTTTCCTAAGAAAGCTTTTCTCAAAAGCTTTCCTCAAAAACCTTTCCACGATTCACTTGTTTTTTTCTATGACTGTTTACAGTACGTAGATTATCAAAATACGATTTCCTTAGCCAATTTACTGTAGCTCGATTTAGCAAAACCTCTTCAAGTACTTCTTGACTCTTAAGAGTGATCGATCTAAAAGCAATAGCCAAATCCTCAGTAGGAAGTCCTAATCCCTTCAGTGCATAGCTCTGAAGTAGAGCTAAATGATGAGAGAATAAAATCTCTATACGCAACTAGTATTTATTTTCAAGTCTCTTATCGTAAATTTGTGCATCAACAGTTTGGATTGGGTAACAATAAGAGAATGGAGAAAAGGGGGGAGCAATGTGATTATCGAGATCATTATTACGTGTCACTGCACACAGTGTCACTCTATATGGTTGTAGAATTCTTTTTGAATCTGTAAAACAGATTGTAATAAAGCTTTAAAAGTATAGAATTTAGAAATGAATCATGTTTAAGAAGATCTTTCAAAAATGAAGCTTTTAATTAGCTTTTAGACAGCTTTTAATCAGCTTTTAGCAGCTTCTAATCAGCTTTTAACAGCTACTAATCAGCTTTTAGGCTTTTAACAGCTTCTAATCAGCTTATAACAGCTTCTAATCAGCTTTTAACAGCTTCTGATCAGCTTTTAACAGCTTCTAAACAGCTTTTAACAGCTTCTAATCAGCTTTTAACAGCTTCTAATATAATGAATTTTCATAGATTTGCTTTGTTTGCTTAGTTTTTCTTTTTTTTACAACAAATTCTTCAATTCTTCAATTCTCCAATTCTTATTTCACACTTTTGTCAAGGCTTTTTCTTTCTTTATGCAAATGACACGAGCAGCCGGGAGGATTACATCAAAAGAAAGAAGATAATGAGGCAATTATGAGAAAAGGAGAGGATATAAAATAAAAAAAGGATATAAATTTGATGTTTGTTTATTAAAGTAAAGTGATAAAAGTCAAGAAAGATAATTAAAGATCATTTGAAATCGATTTAATAAAAGAATTGTTAAAATAAAGAGTGGGCGTGGTTAACTCTACGGTGCGAGTGGTCAGCGATTGGCCGATCGGATGGGAAAGAGGCAGAGAGGCCATCTATGGAAATTTGTTTGGTCTTTTTTGGTCTTTATACGGATCGAACAAGTCAATCTTTTCTATAATCCATAAAACATAAGCCAATTTTTGACTTTATCTTTCTTTTTGATTCTTTTCTTTTGCCTGAATCTAGTCAACTCAATCAATCTGTCGCTTGGTTAACCATGTGGAATGAAAGCGATTCCACCATTAACATTCTTTCTTTTCTTTTCTTTTAATCTCTTTTAGTTATCTATTAAGTTTTATATGTAATTAATAATGCTAAAATTAGATAAGCTTAGAGAATAAGCTACCGTAAATACTGTACAATCGCGTAGTCGCAAAAGTTTTTTAGTATTTCATTTTTTTCAAAGCGCTCGTACTTTCAAAAAATATGTCTTTGGTATGAAAAAATAGCCCTGAATTTCAGCTATTTTTTGATACATAAGCGCGCATTGTAGCATAAACCAGTGGCGAGAAAAACACTGTCAAAGCTAGACTACGCAACACTCCGCACCGTCATTATCTTTGGTATGAAAAAATAGCCCTGAATTTCAGCTATTTTTTGATACCTAAGCGCGCATTGTAGCATAAACCAGTGTCGAGAAAAACTCGTTCAAACCTAGGCTACGCAACGCAACGCTCCGCACCGTCATTATGGGGGTGGGGTACAGTATTTACGGTAGGTAACTTTAAGCAAATGATCCTTTCACCTGCGAAAGTTGAGCTAAATAATCTAAAGAATTGAATTTAGAATTTAAATGACCACTTATAAAATTTAAAGGAAATTGTTTTAATATAATCTTATAATATTGTAATATAATGCTATAGTGATTAAAATAATTTGATAAGTAAATCAATAAGTTATTTTAATTCAAGAAAATCAATGCAACATTTTACATTATTTTCATCTCTATTTTAACTTTTAAAAAAATCACAAAATAAATAAACTTTTAAGCTTTTCTGATTGGCTTAGAGTTAAATTAATAAAAAGTTAATTAAAATAAATAGAAATGGATAAAGGTTTGAAATGAGAAGTTTGAGAAGATCAATAGTTATTTGTTGATCAATAGTTGATCAATAGTTTGGGAAGAGATCAATAGTACAAGTAAATGAAATTGAAATAGTTTAGCTTTAAACTAAAGTTAACTATTAGATTGATTAGAACGATTGTCTAATAATATAAGAATAAGAAGATTGACCTAGTTAGGATCGCTTGAATCTTGCTAACAAGATCAGACAATGAAGCTGACATCAACTTCGTTGAGAGATTTTTCCATCAGCTTGCCAAAGCCTACATCTTTTTAACAGCATCATGACTAGATTAGAATAGAAACAAATGAAAAATAGAAATGGTTGGGTGGGAGGGGTCTCCTCACTTCTCCCGTCATCATCGTCGATCGTCGAGCAACAGCTCCCCTTTCCTCTCCATTTTACACACTCATCACTCCCTTCTTCTCCGTCTTCCTCATCTTTTTCCATCCTTTTCCTTTTCTAAACACACGCCTGATTAGGTCTTTCACTTCAGTAGAGAAAAACCGAATCATTTGATTTCACGCCTGAAATGAGAGCGCTCGGGTGGGTCGCTGCCCGTCTGCAAGGGACAGACTCAGCAGTTTAGAGATAGAAGCCTCCATTCACAAATAACTAGTTCATTACCCTTGTCATATTGATCTAGTTTTGGTGGCTAATTCAATCTTATCCCAATTCACTATGTTTGTCAGTAAACTGTCAGACTCAAATCATCTTCCAGGTAACCAATCGATCAATGATCGATCGATCAATTTCATCGATCAATTTCAGTAATGAATCAGTAATAAAATTTAAATCGATCAATTTCAGTAATGATTTGAAACTCTTTTCCATTAAAAACCTTCCAATCACAAAATTATTACTACTTTACGTAATCGATAGTTCAAATTTGCCGATTAACTTTGCTGTTTAGCGTAAAGGAATGTGGGCTTTGAGACCTAGCTTTGGACTCTAGCTCCAACTTTGGACTCTAGCTCTAGCTTTGAACTCTAGCTCTAGCTTTGGACTCTAGCTCTAACTTTGGACTCTAGCTCTAGCCTTGGACGCTAGCTCTAGCTTTGGACTCTAGTTCTAGCTTTGGACTCTAGCTTTGGACTCTAGCTTTGGACTCTAGCCCTAACTTTGGACTCTAGCTCTAGCTTTGGACTCTAGCTCTAGCCTTGGACCTTCTTATTGCATTGCAGCATCTTCTAGTTGACTTGTAAAGTATATTTAACCAGTTATTACTATAAAACTTTCTATTAACAATAAAAATTCTATTTTCAGGAATCATTTTGGATCCTGGTGAGCTCAATAAAGTGATACGATTTGTGCATGGGGGCTCAGTCCCGACCGCCAAAGATGCCTTCCTCTGGAAGAGGTTTGTTTGCTGATAAATCTAAAGCCAACATTGTTTAATCATTTTTAAAATATTACAATGAATTCCCTTGATTTGAGCTGATGAATAAGTGAGAATGTCGATAAATTTCAGTGAATCACAGTTTGTTTTCCGTAAAATCTTGTTTATTGTCAGTAAAATCTTGTTTAAAATTTCTTCAGCTCTTTGTTTTTTTGTAAATTTGTAAGTCTTTCAAAAAGGATAGCAACTTTTCTAACTTAATCAAATGTTTAAGTGTTTTGAAAGCTCTCAGAAAAACGTCTGACTCTAAGAAGAATTGTCTCAGCTCTCCTATAATATCAAACTTTCTACAGCATCAAAACTGTCTAAGAACCAAATCCTATAACCTATCAACTATCAATTTTAGAAAGCTGATTACTTATTCAATATTTCAAAGTCAGTTTCATGTACAGAACAGTTCTAGAATTGTCTCAGCTAACCGCAAGCTTTAGTTTTTAATGACTGATGCTTGCTGTTCTCTAGTAGGGTCTCATGGTTCTGTACGGTAAGGTTCTCATGGTCTTATTATTAAAACCAGTAAGATTTTAACGTTATCCTTGTTAAAAAAGGCATTTATCTCTTCGAAATGTCACCACCAATCAATCCCACAAACAGCAACATTATCTCAAAATTGATTGGTTGCATCAAATCAATTTCCCATCCCTTTTCCCAAATATCCTCATTCCTTTTCCTTTCCTATCTCCATCAAATCGAAGAGATTCAATCGTCGCCAATCGGGGCTTCGTCCTCTTCCTTCTTTCTCTTCCTTCTCTTTCTCTTCATTCTTCCTCTTTCTCTTTCTCTTAAAAGGATCTCCGTTTTTGAGTGTGATTGTGAGTGGATTGGGTGGAAAAAGGAAAGGAGAAGGATACCGTAATTGATGCTCCCCCTCCAAACACTTTCTCGCGCCCAAAAACACAAAATCTTCTCCGGAAAACTTCACGATTCAATTGAATTTTGAAATTTAAAAGCTGACCTCTTGACTCTGATTTTTGGAGAAGGTTTAAAAGCTTTGAAGGCTTTGAAAGCTGAATGTCAGCTAATACACCGTCTCCGTCGTCATCCTATGATGGTATGTTAATTTCTAGTTCGATTAAAGATTCAGAAAAAGATTTGTTAGGAATAATTCAGTAATTTTCTGTAGTATGATGCTCTTTTTCCCGTTATTTTCTGTAATATTATATTTCCTTTTAAAATCCCCACTCAATCACATGATGATCTCTTCAAAAATCGATATTTTTGTCAATTTTACCATCTCTATTCACTTAGTCTATATCAATATCTATATTATTTTAATCTAAAAGCTTTCCTTAAACGATTCTTGTAAATAAGACTTTGACTCTTGATTAATAGAAAAGCATTGATTTGAAGATAACTTACCAGTTTCATTAATTTCATCGACTTTACAGTTATAGCTAGTATTCTTGCTCCTTGCTTGCTCTAGTATTCTTTATCCTTGCTCTAGTATCCTTGCTCTAGCATCCTTGCTCTAGTACTCTAGTATCCTTGCTCTAGTATCCATGCTCTAGTCTTCTTTATCCTTGCTCTAGCATCCTTGCTCTAGTATCCTTACTCTAGTATTCTTTATCCTTGCCCTAGTATCCATGCTCTAGTATTCTTTATCCCTGCTCTGGTATCCTTGCTCTAGTATTCTTTATCTTTGCTCTAGTATCCTTGCTCTAGTATCCTTTCTCTAGTATTCTATTTTCAATCTCTTCAATCTTCTAATCTCTACAAAACAATATAAACTTTGTCTTTTACTATTGAAAGCATTATTTGAATTTAAAAATCAATACTCTTGCCTTTTCTCTAAAACATTTCTTTATCCCGGGTCTCTGGGTGTGAAAGCTTTTCTAAAAGGGAAGCTCATTATCGGTCTCTTTTCTTTCATTTCTTTCTTTTCTTTATTCTTTCCAGTCTATTCCCTTATCTGCAAGTCATTATCCAATTCGGAATAACGAGTAAAAGATATTCATTGAAAAAGAAAAGCGGCTTTTAGTAAAAGAGATCTTATAAAGCAACATACACCATCACTTCTATTGAAAGGAAATCTCTGTGGTAAATAATTGCCCCTTTTCTTTCCGCTTTCCCAAAAATGGCCTCCAATTTTCGGTGGATTGGCTGAGAGTGTGAAATTGTCAGTGTTGAACGTTTTGGAAAATTGGGAAATACCGCGAATTCCAGTTTAATGGGTTTAAGGAAAGCTTTAGAAATGAATAGGCTAAAAATACGATTGCTTAAAGTCACAAATTGTTTTCGGGAACATTGTTCATCGATTAATGACAAAAGTAGGACAAACAGAAGACAAATAGCAGCATAAAATTACAACTACTAAACCTTGGTCTTGGATAATTAAACAAGAATTGGCTCAAATCTCTCAAAGCTCAAAAGTTTACAAGACTGATTATGTACTATTTAATAGCTAATAACTAATCTTGTTTTCTTTGTTATTTATTTATAACCAGAACTGTTTCAAAAACTGGAGAACTAAGCTAAAGTCACATCAATGTTATGGTTTTGTTTTGGCTTTGGCTTGGCTAGGCTTGACTTGGCTTGACTTGGCTTGACTTGTCTTCTAACTTCTAAAATCAATTCTAGATCCAATCATGTTTAACCAGTAATCTAAAAGCTTAAAGATCATTCTAAAGCTAGAATCCTAAACCAAAAAGACCCATGTAATCCAGTTAAAAGTTTGAGATTCCCCATGAAATTCTATCAAATATTTCCAACTCGTAATCCCCCTTAAACAGCCTTTATTCAAAACACTTCCCAAAGCATTTTCCCTAATAACTAATCTTGTTTTCGTTGTTATTTATTTATAACCAGAAACAGAACTGTTTCAAAAACTCGAGGACTAAGCTAAAGTCACATCAATGTTATGGTTTTGGTTTGACTTTGCTTTGGCTAGGCTTGACTTGGCTTGGCTTGACTTGGCTTGACTTGGCTAGGCTTGACTTGGCTGGGCTTGGCTTGGCTAGGCTTGACTTGACTTGGCTTCTAACTTCTAAAATCAATTCTAGATCCATTCCTGTTTAACCAGTAATCTAAAAGCTTAAAGATCATTCTAAAGCTAGAATCCTAAACCAAAAAGATTCATGTAATCCAGTTAAAAGTTTGAGATTCTCCATGAAATTCTATCAAAGATTTCCAACTCACAATCCTTCTTCAACAGCCTTTATTCCAAACTCTTCCCAAAACATTTTCCCTATCTATGAATAATTCAAATGAATCAAATAGTTTGTTACTCAAAGACGTTCCACTCATCGACAGAAAGGTGATGAAGGTGAAAAGAAGAAAGAAGACGGAAAGAGGGGACAAGGTCGTCATCTCTTTTCACTCTTTTTATCGATATTCCCCTTTTCTCTCATCTTTCAATGATCCAAGTTTGGATGTTCGACAAAAAAAAAACGGTCCCTCATAAAAGAAAGTGTTTTTGTGTGGAAAGCCTTTCTTTGGGAAAGCCCAGGCCATTCACCCCAACAATCGACCACCGTTAACCATCGCGATTCAAAGTCAAACCAAGATATCATTTTGGTAGGGGATTAGAAGAATTCTAAAGAAAATGAACATAAAGAGTTATTTACCCGTTTCTTTGAATGAATTCTCATTCTCCTTAATCAATCGACATCCAACAATCGGCTTGCTTCAAGAATTCGATTCAAATTTAACAACAATTTAATTTAACAACTTAGAAAATGGATTTATCTTAGAAATCTAAAGTGCTGGCTTTAGAATCTTAAGTTAAAGTACTTTAAAAGATGCAAAATTTGATCTAGCAACTCTTCGTTATTAGCTTAACAAGAAGATTTGATTTAGATTCAGATGCGGGGCATACTGGAGTGAATCAATTAGGTGGAGTCTTTGTGAATGGACGACCACTTCCAGACAAGACGCGACAATTAATCGTTGATATGGCACATCAAGGAGCTAGACCGTGTGATATCTCAAGGAAACTCTGTGTCTCGAATGGGTAAACTTTTCAAGAACAAACTATAGTGTTAAGAGGAAACCGTTCACTAACGTTCGCATTTTGCCACGCAATCTAAGTCTAAGTGTTTTGCCAATAGCTGCACACAGACAAACAAATGGACAGACATCTCTTTTGCTTTATATAGTAGATTATTTATTTTAGATGTGTTTCGAAGATTTTATGTCGTTATTATGAATCGGGAACGATTCGTCCAAGAGCTATTGGTGGTTCAAAGGTATGTTTTCCTCTAGAGGATGCTTAAAAAGCTTTATCCTTTTCTTAAAAGATCAAAATTTAATCAAAATTCAATCAAAATCAAATAAAATCAAACAAAATTAAGATAAAAAGACATTAAATTTGAAATCTTTAACTATTGATGGTTCAAAGTTATGTTTTCCTGTAGAGAAAGCTTAAAAAGCTTTATCCTTTTCTTAAAATAATAATAATAATACTTTATTCAAACGATAAAGTGAAAGAAATCATAGAGAAATGCACAGTGATACTTAATCATACAATACATACTGAAATCAATAAGCCTTACGCACCGTCATTATCTTTGGTATGAAAAAATAGCCCTGAATTTCAGCTATTTTTTGATACCTAAGCGCGCATTGTAGCATAAACCAGTGTCGAGAAAAACGCTGTCAAACCTAGGCTACGCAACGGCCTTACGGCAAAGAGCCACTAGATCTAAAGCATCGATACGTTTCTTGAATATGAAAAGCGACTGAATTTCTCGTATGTCGTTTGGGAGCAAGTTCCATAATCTAGCGGCTCTAACGGGAAATGAATTTGATAAAGAGGCATTGGAAGCAAAGGGAATTTGCAAAAGGAATGAGCCACTTCTGGGCCCTGACCGCGGTTTAAATTTGAAAAAGTCGATAAACAAAGGGCTAATCTGTTTACAACGGAGGATTTTGAAAGTTTCGACTAAATCAATGACAAAGCGACGATGCTGTAAAGTTTTTAGTTCAAAAAAAGCAAGTCTCTCCTTCAAAATTCAAAAAGATCAAAATTTGATCAAAATTCATTCAAAATTCATTCAAAATTCAAACAAAATTCAAATAAAATCAAATAAAATCAAATAAAATCAAATAAAATTAAGATAAAAAGACATTAAATTTGAAATCTTTAACTATTGGTGGTTCAAAGGTATGCTTTCCTGTAGAGAATGCTTAAAAAGCTTTATCCTTTTTTCAAAAGATCAAAATTCAAACAAAATTCAAACAAAATCAAATTAAATAACGATAAAAAGACATTAAATTTGAAAGCTTTAACTACTTTTTTACCTAAAGAATACTTTAATCTTAATCTTTTGTTGAAAATTTGTTTTTCCCTGAGTATTCACGAAACGAATTTACTTTTTTTTTGATTATCTCTAATGCTAATTGATTTTAAAATATGAAAAAGTCGAAATAAAATGAACTTTTTAAAAGATTAGAAACAATTTTCCTTTAAAACTAGTCATTCTTTGGTCAAATTGCTGATGAGTTTGATATTTTTTTTTTTTAAATTTTCACTTAAAAGCCGTCGTAGCCGAGCGGATAGGAGTCTTGTCTCCTAGTCAATATATTTAAAAGTATATTGAAATAGGTTGTAGGTTCCCTAGTTGTGCACAGAAATCAAAATTATAGCATTTGAGAAACAGCCGACCGTAGCCGACCGGATAGGAGATGTCGTATCCGGTCGGCGTCGGGGGTTTAAGGGTTCGATCCCGGCGGCTAGAAAGATTGCTTCTTTTTCCCATTATTATGGGTTTTATTATGGGTTTTTTCTTAACAACATTTAGGCAATCGGGGTAATTAGGGATAAAAATTTCCTCCGTTGTATTGTAATTCATTATTCGTGTCGAATAAATATACTTTAAAAGAGCCAGAATGTCAAAGAAGTCAGTCAGATTCAGTCAGAAAAAACGATTTTCAATAGAAATCTTTAAATAAAGCATTTTTATAGTAAAAATAGTCAAAGATTTCAAATATTTTAAAGGATTTTTCTCTAAATTTCAGTCTAATAGTTGTAAAAATGATTCTTGACGAGAAGACAGAACTTTTTGCACCTTGTACATCTAAAAATTAATCTTCTTAATTCAATTTTTTCAAATACCCTTGAGAAAAAGACGTTCAACCGATAATTGAATACAAATATTACGCATAAATGTCTATATTTTGACGATTTCAGCCAAGAGTTGCAACTGGAGGCGTTGTGCAAAAGATTGAATCATATAAAAGAGAACAACCGTCGATTTTCGCTTGGGAGATTCGAGATCGACTTTTATCCGAGGGGATTTGTTCACAAGAGACGATACCATCGGTGGGTTAGAATTTGAAATTTTAATCTTACTAAAGAGTTCATCTAAAGAATCATTACCTTTATTTTAAAACCCAAATCCTTTTGTAGAGATCAGACTTTAGTTGACTGCTTTCTGCTGGTGAAAACTGCAAGTTTTCACCTCAGAAGTAGTATGCTCAAAAATATTGGTTTAGTCGGAAAGTCTTGTCTGGAAAACCTTATCCAGAAAGTCTTATCCAGAAAGTCTTGTCCGGAAAGTCTGGTCCGGAAAGTCTGGTCCGGAAAGTCTGGTCCGGAAAGTCTGGTCCGGAAAGTCTAGTCCGGAAAGTCTTGCCCAGAAAGTCTTGTCTAGAAAGTCTTATCCAGAAAGTCTTATCCAGAAAGTCTTATCCGGAAAGTCTTCTCCGGAAAGTCTTGCTCAGAAAGTCTTGCCCAGAAACTCTTGCCCAGAAACTCTTGCCCAGAAACTCTTGCCCAGAAAGTCTTATTCAGAAAGTCTTGCCTTGTGAAATTTTCGTTTATAAATGACTACCGATAAACGGTTTTCTTTCAAAAAAAAAAGATTAACTATTTCATTTAGCCTTAGTCAAATTTAAGTCCACTTTAAAGCAAATCAAATGAATACTTGTTTTTCCCAAAAATTGCCACATAGAATGAAAACGGTTTAGTGAAATATTATTTTATTTATCTACTAAACTTTTCATTCTTTATCTTTGTCTTTTGACATTAAAATATGATGTCAAAATAGATTTTTGGTTGTGAAAAAGTGCTCAATCGAAACTTTGAGTTCATTTTTGATTGCTTTAAACCTTTAAAAAAAATTTCTTAAAGAGCAATTTGTAAATAAATAATAGAAATTTAAGATAAAAAGAACTATAGATTGATAGCTTTAGCTATCAATCTATAGTTCTTGATTGAAGTTCTTGTTAATTGAAGTAACCTTTAAAACGCGAAACCTTTAAAAAAAGCGGATAAGACTTTGTGGTCAAGCTGATAGAAGCGAGCTTTTTTTTTGTTCTTAAAGAGTTCTTGAGCTTGTTCTTAAAGAGTTCTTGAGCTTTAGCTATCAATCTATAGTTCTTGAACTATAGATTGATTTTTTTTTTTTTTTTTTTTTAAAAAAAAACCCCAAAAAAAACGGATAAGACTTTCTTAATTAATAAATAGAATTTCAAAGCTAAATAAATGAAAGCTATGTGAAATGCATTTTGTAACCTTTAAAACGCGAAACCTTTAAAAAAAAGCGGATAAGACTTTGTGGTCAAGCTGATAGAACCGAGCTTTTTTTTGCTTTTCTTTCAAGTTTTCTTCTAACAATCATTGCGAGTTTTTAAAAAAAATAAAGTAGATCCTAAAAACTACAATAATTTGGAATCTAACCGACTTGATGTATGAATTAAACTTTTCTAGAGTATACTTGACAAGTAGTTAAGTAGTTAAGTTCAAAAGTAGTTAAGTAGTTGAGTTCAAAAGCAATACTTACAGTCATCATAAGTTACGCCAGAGTGCTTTAAAAAGAAGAAGCACTTCAAATTCGTTGTTAAAACTTGTACAATTCATTTTATGATTTTTTGATTACTTTGAAATGAGGAAATTCTAGAGTTGAATGATAAATTCCACCATCAACACACTAAAGCTATAAGCTAAAGCTATAAGCTAAAGCTATAAGCTAAAGCTATAAGCTAAAGCTATAAGCTAAAGCTATAAGCTAAAGCTATAAGCTAAAGCTATAAGCTAAAGCTATAAGCTAAAGCTATAAGCTAAAGCTATAAGCTAAAGCTATAAGCTAAAGCTATAAGCTAAAGCTATAAGCTAAAGCTATAAGCTAAAGCTATAAGCTAAAGCTATAAGCTAAAGCTATAAGCTAAAGCTATAAGCTAAAGCTATAAGCTAAAGCTATAAGCTAAAGCTATAAGCTAAAGCTATAAGCTAAAGCTATAAGCTAAAGCTATAAGCTAAAGCTATAAGCTAAAGCTATAAGCTAAAGCTATAAGCTAAAGCTATAAGCTAAAGCTATAAGCTAAAGCTCTCCATTGTTTCGATTACCCAAAAGTTTATACTCAATTCGAAAACTTTACCTCAAACAACAATCAAAAAAAGTTCAAATACGTTTGTTGATTTTCTAATTGCCCTAACGAGACAATAATTTCTATTAAAGGGTGGTGACAATCTTTTTTCAACTTTTTTCCTTATCCCATGGGAGTCCTGGATTAAGTCATTTTCAAATTCGATTAATAAATAGAATTTCAAAGCTAAATAAATGAAAGCTGTGTGGAATGCATTTTGTTTAAAGCTTTTTCTTTGAAAAGAAGACTTTTGAATGATTGTTCTTAACGCCTTTATCACCTTTAGCTTTCAGTTTTCAGTTCAATCTCAATCCGGTTTTGTTGATTACAAAAAATAATAGTAAACAATAGCAAACTACTGCCTATAGGAATATTTTAAATTCACACTTATGGGTTTCAACATGGTCTTACGGTAAGTCAGGCAAGGCCAGGCTAGGCTAGGCTAAGCTAGGCCAGACTAGGCTAGGCTAGGCCAGGCCAAACTAGGCTAGGCTAGGCTAGGCTAGGCTAGGCTAGGCTAGGCTAGGCTAGGCTAAGCTAGGCCAAACTAGGCCAGACTAGGCCAGACTAGGCCAGACTAGGCCAGACTAGGCTAGGCTAGGCTAGGCTAGGTTTGGATTGGCTAGGCTAGGCCAGATTAGGCTAGGCCAGGCAAGGCTAGGCCAGACTAGGCCAGGCTAGGCTAGGCTAGGCCAGGTTAGGCTAGGCCAGAGCCAGATCAGGCTTGGCTTCTAGCAGGTTTAGGTTTAGGCTTAGGCTCAGGCTTAGCTTAGGCTTAGTCCCAGAAAAACCCAGGCTAAGACGTTGCTTTTTGTCTGCCCTGGCCTTTACCTAGAATCAATTTTTGTGATCCTAAGGCCTGTAAGCTAAATGAAGTTAGAGGCCTGCCCTAACCCTAGCATTGTCTCTGATCAAGAAAATCACCTATCGAACAATCCTGAATGTTTCCTAAGAAAACCCAATTCTCAATCAATTCAAATGCAACTCACTTCCCCCGTTCTCGATCGAATTTTTCGCAAATCCCTTTTAGCGTTCGATAATCGAAAACATTTTTCTTCGTTTTCTTATCACTGGGGAAAAAAGGAGGAGTTTGAGTTTTAGAGAGAGAAGAAAATGGACTGTAACATCACATCCCATCCATCTTTTCACCGGATTACGGTAGTTGTTCTGTTTTTCTTTCTTTTCAATGCCTTTCTTGTTGAACTAAATTTTGAATTTATCAAATTTCTTTTGAAAACAAATCCAAATTCATTTTGATCTTTTATCTGACACTCATTTCAAGAAAACAATCATAAATTCCCGTCACCAATAAGTACTTGCAGATTATTCGATCTGTAGGCGATTAATTAAGTTCAATTTAAAAGTTTCCTTGAAATTTTCACGTCTCTCCACTTTGCTCTCATACAAAATCATACTTTGAGCAAAAAGGAAACAACAAAAAGTTCAAAGTTTTGGGGTTTCTTTAAGGGAAAAGCTCGTACTTTCTGTGATTGGATTGGGGATCATGTAGGATTGGTTTGGGGTGGAGTTGGCGGTAGATTAGAATTCGAATAGTTTTAGGGATGCCAAGTGATTTTGTATTCACCAGAGCCGGCCTATCGTAGAGATGGGAAAACTTCAATCCTAATTTAATTTAATCTTTATTTTCTTGGCCGATTGCTCTGAGATTTTGTCTATAGATAGAAATCGATCTTTTCAGCTTGTAGCCAAGATTTTAATCGACCAAGAAACGGTTGAGAGGATGATGATGGAGTTTTCCCTGGTCAGCTTTTTAGTACCCGATTCTAGTACCAGCTCGTTATAGAGTTAGTCCTCTATGGGGTTGATGGATTGAAAACTGCCGGACTTTGAACTAAAATTTATTCCAAATAATTTCCATTATTATTGACGACTTCTGCCCATTTTACAGGCAATTTGCGGATTCCTCTTTCGTAGTAGGGTTTTGGTTTTGAATCGAAAAACTTTCAAAGCCAATTTTTGACTGCTTCTTCCGAATCGAAGTGTTCTCCCGCAAGCTCCATTACTCATGATCCGGAATAAATAGTAATCAAAAGGGGAGGGCTGTACGGGCTGTAATGCGCCAAAAGTTCCCAAACAAGGCTGTTTATTTTAGAGCGAGTCAGTTTTGCAACATCAGGGCGAACTTTATTATATTGGGTTGGTGAATTGAAAACTGCCGGACTTTGAAGTAAAATTTATTCGACATAAAACCATAAATTCATTCGAAATAATTTCCATTATTATTGACGAGTTCTGCCCATTTTACAGGCAATTTGCGGATTCCTCTTTCGTAGTAGGATTTTGGTTTGTGTGTGAGACAAGTGTCAGACTCAAAAATGGAGGAGTGGAGATGTCCCAGTTTGAGCATTTGAGCACTTTCTTCAAAAGAAACCCATTTTGGTGTCAATAGAAAAGTTGTAGAGAATCAAAAATCAAGCTTATAGCCAAATTTCCAAAAAGATACACCTAGTAGTTTCGCTTAAAATGCAAGTTTTATGAAAATTCGTAAATTTAGCATTTCTTGAAAATCAATTTTTGAATCGTTCTGAAAATTTGGATATAAGCTTGATTTTTGATTCTCTACAACTTTTCCATTGACACCAAAATGGGTTTCTTTTGAAGAAAGTGCTCAAACTGTCACATATGACAATAGCCCGCAGTTTTCAACTCACCAACCCAATAGAACCAAACGATTCAATATCCATTTCTATTTTTACATCAATCTGGTTTTAGATTCATTAACCTTGTATAAGACTTATAAATGATAAACTTTTAATAATGAATAAGCAAGCTCTCCCTTTGAATTTAGTCTTTAATCTTCTGAATTGACTATTAAGAACTTTATTGTAAAACTTTTCCAAAAAAGAAACTTTCTTGGGATACAGTAAAGGGATTTAAAAACGAAAAACAAAAATGAAAAGGAAAGAGAAAAAAAACATAGAGAGGATTTGATAGGATAAAGAAATCAAAAAAAGGAAACAGGGGAGATGAATGGATGAATGGATGTTGTGGGGGTGATTGGGGAGGGATTTGCTGACGTGTAAAACCCTATGTAGATCTAGGATCTCCTCCTACATTGGGCTGAAGTGTCCTTTCTAAGGCCACGACCCGGTTTGCTTTCCATATCCAAATCGAATCCAGTCAGGAAGCTAGATCGAATCGATTCATTTGAAGTACTGAACATCTTTTCGTTATCTAGAAGCCTTCTACAAGTACCAATAGAATCTTTGATCTGTTACACATCATTGATCTGTTACATAGTGTCCGCATCTTAGTTACGTAGCTCGGATACAGTAGTGAGTCCAATTCTAACAATGTCTGTTACACATCATTGATCTGTTACACAGCTTTGTTCTGTTAGTGTTCGCATTTGATCCGATCTGTTAGTGTCCGTAGTGTCCGCATCTTAGTTACGTAGGTCGGATACAATAGTGAATCCAATTCTAACAATGAACAAGCTAGGATCTTCCTTTTCATCTATTAATGGACCCCAACGTGCAACCTAGTTCATGTAGTTGACTAAACACCTATAACTAGAGATCCGTTAGGCTCAGTTCTTCACCAAGCCTTCAAGTATCCAAGTAACAAGTCCAGCACCTGACCCGGACACATTTTCATAGCCTCCCCCCCCTCAAGTATTGCTCCATAGATCCCCTCATCCACGGCTTCTCACCTCCTCCCCTTTTCACTCGACTTCTCTCCTCAATTCTTGTCATAATCCCCTCTGAACTCATCCTTCCCCCTTTCTTCTATTTTTATTTTCTAATCACCATTTCTCTCACTCGAAATTAACCCCGATTTACTCGACTCATTTCTTTTTCATAATCCCAACAAATACTTGCTAAGATCCGCTTCCTTATCCTGTAAAAATCATTTAGTTTACTGTAAAATTTAATTTCACTTTTATCAAGCTTAAAATTGAAACCATAACAATGTCAAATTATAAATGAATAGTTCTTTACTGTTTCTGAAGAACTTTGAAAATTGTTAGCCAAAAAAAGCTACCGTAAATACTGTAATTGGGACCCCACCCCTCTAATAGTACCCCACCCTAGAAGGGGTACAAGTACAAGAGTCATCAGAAATAGATAGATAAGCTATACATAAAGATAATAAGCATAGTGACCCACCCTCTAATAGTGCCCCACGCTAGAGGGGGAGGGAAAAAAATAGTAGCCCATGGGGTCCAATTATAGTATTAACGGTATGTTATTTTATGCTATATATCATATAGCTAAATCATTATATAGAAAAGCTTATTGTAAACACAAAATTTCCAGGTTTCATCAATCAATCGAGTGCTTCGAAATCTGGCGGCACGCAAAGAGCAACAAGCCATGCAAACCGAGTTCTACGCGGGGTTACGGTCAGTTTTCTATAGTATTTGAATACTAAAATACCAGAAATCTCTGAAGCCTTGTAAAATCTACAGCATTTACAGGATCTTTACAATTGCTGCATAGTTTTTAAAGAGCCAATGATGAGAATAAGTACGAGAAATCTCTGAAAGCCTCGTGCTTTTCTTTGGCGGCTAAAAATTGTCATCTTTTCAATTTATTTTATTCAAAATGACCTATGCTTTTGTGAAAAAGTAAAGAAAGAATAAATCAAGATAATCGGGAGACTGATATCAAGGCTTATCTCCACTATTTCTCATCATTGGCTCTTTAAAAACTATGCAGCAATTGTCAAACTCCTGTAAATGCTGTAGATTTTAGTTTTTTTTTGTGTTCTACAAAAAGTTTACTTCTTAATTTTACTTTTGAAAGACTTAAATCATGATCAAAATAGATAAGAAAGTAGCGATTATTGGTCAAGTTTTTCGCCAACTTGCATCTCGATTTTATCTAAGTTTATGTTAATAACATTTAATAAAACAAATAGTTTCTGAAAGCTAACGTTTTAAGCTATTAAAATCTTATTGAAATTTCCTGATCTAATAAGTTTAAGGTGCTTAAAAATGAGTTACAAGTTGGGCAAAAAATTGGCCGAGAATCGCTACCCCTTGCCGTTAACAGTAAAGATCCTAGATAAGCTTCAATCATTTGGATACTATAATGAAATATTCTTATTGTTATTGTTATTCTTATTTTATACATTTTACTTACTGTAACTATCATAAAATCTACTATATACAAAAAAATAAAACGCCCGTCGATCACACAATTTTATGGCACTGCGGCCGTTACCCCTATTACCCTTATTACTTTCTTGAATTGAATCGTTTGTAATTGAATAGTTAGTTGTGAAGATAGCCAAGAGTTTGCTTGAAGTTTTGTCTCATTCTTTAAATCTCACAAATATCTCTATAAAATCGCCTCACTATCATCATTTCGAGTTAGCCGGAAACGATGCATTAGTGAGGAGAAGGCATGATAAATCTTTTCCTACACATAATCTTCTCAAAGTGATTTGAATTCTGTACTCTCAGAAAAACCCTAGCAACCTTAAAACCGTATCTAGGTTTCTTTAATATTCTTATAAATAGTTTTCACTTGAATAGTTAGTTGTGAAGATGGCCAAGAGTTTGGCCAAGAAGAGATGAGCCCCACTTTACCAAAGCTTTATAGTCTTTTAACACTTCTAAGCCTTCCAAATAGATAAAACTTTCAAAGTCTAGAATCTAACAAACAGATTTGTTTTTAAAACAATATACAAATCACTGAAAATTAGCGATTTTTTTTTAGTTGAAAGAGAGTAAAGAAAAATCTAGTGTCGCTTACAAGCATTCGCTTTACTTTACTTTACTTTACCAGCATTCGCTTTACTTTACTTTACTTTACAAGCATTCGCTTTACTTTACTTTACTTTACAAGCGTGCAAGCTGATTTGAAAGTGATTTGAATTCTGTACTCTCAGAAAAACCCTATCAACCTTAATACCGTATCTAGATTACAATACAACACTTATTACCTTATCTAGTCTTGTAACTTGTAGCCTAAACTTTTAGCCAACTTTTTTTTTTATCATAACCTCATCCTTTATGTATGGATATTTTTAAGGGAAATCCTCGATAAATTCCAAAGCAAATTACCGGATGTTACGCAGAAAATCGTCTTGTCTCAGAGATCTGATGAGGATTTAAAAATGATGGGCTCTGATGTAAATGAGTAATGGAAAATGGGGAGAAAATTGTAGGCATGGTGGTACTTTTGGGGTAGAGGAGGGATAAGATAAGGTAATGTTTCCGTTTCCGGCTTACCCAACCACTCCAATCTTCTTCCAAGTATTTCATTTTATCTTCATCAAGTTTAGATTTAGATTCTTTTACTTTTTACTACTTTCTCTTGATGTATCACCGAAAAGTACCTACCGTAAATACAGCAATAGTACCCACCCCCTTCGTACAGTCTCGTAGTCGCAAAAGTTCTTTTGTATTTCTTTTTTTTGCAAAGCACCCATGCTTTCAAAAAATGCGTCTTTGGTATCAAAAAAAAGCCCTGAATTTCAGCTATTTTTTGATATCTAAGCGCACATTGTAGCATAAACCAGTGTCGAGAAAAACGCTGTCAAAGCTAGACTACGCAACGCTCCGCACCATCATTATCGGGGTGGGGTAGTTATTGATCTATTGATCATAAATCTATCAGTATTAGGTCCTAAATTCAAAAATCTTTTCAATCTTTTCAATTCTTTTGTACATTATCTTACATTTTCGTAGTAAATTCGTTTTTTTTGGGGATTAGAATTTTTGGGGACGAATTTCACGTGTTCTTTCATTCAAAAAAAAAGATTTAAAATAAGGTTTCGATGACAAGTTTATGAAATTTCTATCCATAAAATGATCTATTTCAGATATTCGACGAATCAGTGGTACAATCAGTGGCCAACCATGCAAATGTCCGGTGTTGTGCCCTTCTCATTAACACAACAGAATCCGATTGAGGCGAAAAAAGATCCAAGTGAGTTGTCTTTCGAATTCATTCTTTAGAATGAATAGAAGTTATGATAAAAGAATGCACTGGGATTTCAGCTAAATTTGGGTAAGTTTAATAGTAAAAATGTAGCAATTCAATAACTGAATGGATGAAATCATTGATTTAATAGTTTAATCAAAGGTTCATACCAAAAATCTAACAAAATTCATCTTTTTCAGAACAAAAGATCTTAGTTTAAACACAATATGCAATGAGAAAGTGATGCTATGCATACTATGCATACTTTGCACAATACTATCCAGGCTTGCAGATCAAAACTTTGAATACGATACAGGCTTTGAAGGCTTGCAGATCAAAACTCTTGTAGGAGAATATCAGCTGAAATATTTTGATAGATAGACAGACAGTCAGACAAACAGACAGACAGACAGACAGGCGGACAGGCAGGCAGACAGACTGGCAGACGGACAGGCGAACAAACAGACGGACAGGCGAACAAACAGACAGACAGGCGGGCAGACAGACAGACAGACAGGCGGACAAGCAGGCAGACAGACAGGCAGACGGACAGGCAGACGGACAGGCGAACAAACAGACAGACAGACAGGCGGACAGACAGACAGACAGACAGGCAGGCAGGCAGAAGGACAGACAGGCGAACAAACAGACAGACAGACAAACAGACAGGCGGACAGACAGACAGTCAGACAAACAGACAGACATACAGACATGCGTCTTAGTCCCTTTATATATAGTAAATAGCTAGTTTAGTTACTCGATTAGATTTCTTTATTATGCTTTCCTTGTTAAATACTTCTTGAAATATCAATTCGTATAGCAGCTTTTATCAGAAAACAAGCTTGCACCGGAAAATCAATTTTGTACAATCCCTGAACCATCGATCATGATCTCTTCTCATGAGTGTCTCTGTAAGGTGTTTGAGGGGAACACTTGTCCGATTTATTGCCCCGATAACCAATTTTGCCGCTCTTCTATTACGTGAATGATAAAATCTTGTGCGGAATTACTTTGCAAACGACTTCGACACCTGTTGTTTCTTGCTTGAATGCAAGACAAATCCCCACACTCATTAAGTTCTTCATTTCATTTGCTACATCTGTTTTTTTTTCGTATTCGACGCGATAATCCGCTCATTAGCTGTAGTTTGTAAAGATTTTAAAATGTGAGATCAAATTTCTTGGATAAGAGAAGCTATTTTAGGAAAGTATGAAAATTCATAGAACTTTTAAAGTACAATCTTTCTTTAGTACAATCTTTGTAGTACAATATTTGTAGTACAATCTTTTGTAGTACAATCTTTGTAGTACAATCTTTGTAGTACAATCTTTGTAGTACAATCTTTGTAGTACAATCTTTCTTTAGTACAATCATTTGCCTTAAGTACTTTAAACTCTGTAGTACTTTAAAATTGATTCAACTTTGAAACTCAAAGCCGAAGCAGCCTAAAACCACTTCCCAGTCTTTTTTCAATTCACTACAAAGCTCAGTTCAAGTACTTTTCCTAAATTCTTCAAAAAAAAGTTTTATCCTTTGATTTTTGAACTCAATTCACTGTCCATATCGCGCAAATGTTTCTATTTTAACAAAAACAAGTAAAAATCCAAGATTTTCCCATAATCCTTAAAGCGGTTAATCATAAAAATGCAAAAATGAGCTTATCTGATTTAATGAAACAGGGAAATGAGATTTTTGTGAAAATAAGCTGAAAATATGCTGATGATATGCTGAAAAATGACGTTTAAATGGAGTTAGATTTGAAGACTTTACATAGAATCTAGAATTGAAATCATATAATCTTTCAGATCAATTATTGATCCAGATTCTAAATGTAAACTTTCGTTAAGCAGCGTTAAGCAATATTGAAATCATCAAAATATCTCCACTCAAGTGAAAACTCGAAAAGTTTTGTGACTTTTTCTATTGTATTCTTATTGTAAACACTTGGTGGCTTGTTAGCTTCAGGAAAACGATTGAAATTTTTCATACACAGCTTAAAAAAGGTGTTGATATTTTGAAAAATTAGAAAAATTATACATAATGTATCTCTATATCATTCTTGTTTTTTTTCTAATTTATAGGGAAAGCTGCTTGACCCCAATAAAACCAGTTAAGCTATCCCAAAATCCAGCACACGGTTTTAAGACTTTTTGGATACTATTCTCGTCTAGCTTGGAGTCTAGAGCTTGAACTAATTCTAAGTAAAGCCAGGCAATGTTTCAAGTCAAAGATTTTTGACTTTTGTCAAAGCTTTTTGACTTGATCAATTATTTATAAGATCCAGTAGGCCTAGCAATAGTTACAAAATGATCTATTGTAGTGGAAGCTAGGCTAGGGTAAAAGGCTTCTACAGTAAAGCAAACTACTTTATGATCTTAAATATGACCTTTATTTATGTATACAATTGTTATTCACAATTTAGAATCCATTTCGAACTTTAGCTTAAGGCTTTTCTTTGAGAATGATTAAAGAGCTGGGAAGAACTGGATCGGGTAAAGAAAACATTAGCTTTGCGTTAAATTTTTTGTTTTTGTTTTACTCTTTAAACTATTTTTGTTAAAACTATTTTTGTTGCCTTAAAGTGAAGCTAAAACATTTAAAAACTCAAAAATTGTTCCCATAACTAAAGCCACCAAAAAAAGCAAGAAAGAAAAAGATCGGGATTCACTTCAGAAATCCTGGGATTAGATTACTAATTATCTTCTTTTTTCCTTTCACGGATTTGGTGATAATTCTCGTTTTTGCAATCATTCTTCTGCAATAGCTTTCTCACGTGATTGTCCTTGTTTACAGCAATCTCTGTCTTTGATCAAATGGCTAGAAATATAAAAAAAAACTCTGAAATCACGAGTTCAAATTCTAATCCACCCGTAAATGAACTATTTCAACGATTTCATTGAAAAGTGATCTTCTAAAAACAAATCCCCCTAATTGTTTGTGTAGCTTTTGTTTCAATCTATTGAATGAATGGGCCAGGTTTGGTGATTAGTAAACAAGATAAAGATTTCTGGATTAGAGAAATGAGTTGTAATAAGTTGCAAAGAGTTTTTGAAAGGAAATGTGGGAAATTGTGACCAAATTTTTAGGAGTTTCAGGGATTTAAAACTTTAACTTGTTATTGAGCTATCAGCTTTTCATCAAAGCTATCAGCTTTTCATCAAAGCTGTCAGCTGTTTATCAAAGCTATGAGTTCTTTATCAAAGCTGTCAGCTGTTCATCAAAGCTGTTCATCAAAATTATCAGCTGTTCATCAAAGCTATCAGCTTTTCATCAAAGCTATCAGCTTGTGAAAATCTCTGGATCAGGTTTAAAGTCAAAGCTTACAGTAGTAGCTTTAAAGTATCTTTCTAGTTAAAGTATTAAAGCAATAGGATTTCTCATTCCACCAAAATGTAGCCTTTGATTTTGCTAAAAAGAAGCGCTATCACAAAGTCCAAATTTTTCAATTTGGTTTTGTAGATGTTGAGTTCTAGTTCGTGCTTTTGTTTCTATTATAACTTTAGGTTTAAATCCAATTTCTACTAGATATTTGAAGAGTTTAAAGCTTGATTTCTAAACAATTCTATTTCTTTTACAAGAGATTTACAAGAGAACCAATCTTATGAAAAAGAACTGCCGAGATTTCACTGCTACAGTCAATCTTGTGCAATACTTTACAAAGCTCATCAGTATGAATAGTACCTTCTTTGTACCTTCTCTAGCCCAGAATCCCTGCGTGAGTTCATTGGTTGCATAATGTGAGGCTGACTGGTGATGGGAAGAGAAACAAGGAGAGATTGGGATGATAAGGGCGGACTCGCATAGTCACTGGATTCAGCTACCCAACCCACCCTACCCAGCCCTACCCAGCTCTACCCAACCCTACCCATCCATCCCCCAACTCCTCACGCTCGACTGCCCATTATCGACCATCCCCACCATATCCCTTTTTCCTTTTCATAGACCACCTCAACTCACCTGAGTGCTCTTCTTTATCTCATGAGGAAAAAGAAAGCCTTCCCCTCCCTTGACTGTCACTTTCTCCTGTAGTCCGCCCATGTTGAACCCGATCCATTGCCTGCAAAAAGTCTTCCCCAAGAATTCGAAAAAATGCACACGGCAAAAAAAAGATTTGGAACGTTGCGCGATCTGATCATGAGTTTTTATAAAAAGTTGTCGTACTGTAGAGGGATTGATCTTGAGCAAAATAGGATTTTGTTTAGACATCGTACAGTAGTCAGATTGATTGCGCAAGGGGTTTTCTAGAAGAGTGAACTATTTCTGATGATAGTGTAAATAAAAGGGTTCTGAAAAATGAACGAATTGAATAATTGGAAACAGTAAAGCTAGGATTGGAGAATTGAAAGTCAAGATTTCAACTTTAAATGTCAATTTTGAATCTTCTTTTAACTTTTCTATGTTCTGGATTAGTCATTTTGTTGTATTTCTTTCTTTTTCAAAAGCATTGTGTATCATTTTAAAAGAAGCCATTGAAAAAAAGATTTTAAGCATTGTGAAAAATAAATTTAGTTGATTTTAAAGATTAAAATATCTAAAAATAGATTTTTTTTTGAGAAATTGATTAAAGAAAAATGAAAAGATGAGAAAAAGATGAGCTTTGGAGTCAATTAAAGAAGCCTTGTAGGCGAAAGGAAATTCAAAGTTCGACAATTCAATGAATAGATTGATCATAGTACTTCTTGTCTGATTTTTGAGTCCTTTCTCCTTTCTCCTTCCTCAACTCGATGATCTAATTGAGTTAGTCTCCTCTCAAAATCGATTCATTCACTGCAGACAAAGCAACAATATCGCCGAAATTCCCACGATCATTAAGCGATGAAAGACTTGAGAAAAGTGATGGCTAATCTAATTTCGCTTGCAAAACAAACATTGCAAATGAAATTAGTGACTAGGCTAGTATAAAAAGAGATAGACGAATGGTTGATAGACGGATAGTCTGAGAAAAGCTTTGAATTTTGTGAAACTAGGATAATCTAAAGTATTCTTTGCATAAGTAGGTTAGCTTCATTTTTTATTAGTCAAATTGCTAGGTATTTTTTTGTAGTCAGATATTTAAGTTTATTTTCTATTTCTTGAAATAACTGATCAATGGGTCAATTGGTTAATTGGTTAGTTGGTTAATTGGTTAGTTGGTTAATTGGTTAGTTGGTTAACTGACTAGTTGGTTAGCTGACTAGTTGGTTAGCTGACTAGTTGGTTAGCTGACTAGTTGGTTAACTGACTAGTTGGTTAACTGACTAGTTGGTTAGCTGACTAGTTGGTTAGCTGACTAGTTGGTTAGCTGACTAGTTGGTTAACTGATTAGTTGGTGAACTGATCGATTGGTCAATTGGTTAACTGATCGATTGGTTAACTGATCAATTCACCAATTGGTTAACTGATCAATTGATCAATTTGTCAATTGACCAATTGGTTAACTGATCAATTAACCAATTTGTCAACTTATCAACTTGTTCCTAAAGTAAAAATCAAAGCTACAAATGATTTATGATAATAATATATATCAATATCATTGATGTAAGCATAAAAAAGTGCTAACAGAACATTGTAATTGACAAAATGACACACAAACTTAGAACCCAATAAAAGAAGAATTGTAGAGACTAAAGAATGAATTAATTCGATTCAAATTTGATTCAAATTCGATTCAAAATCGATTCAATTCAATGCCTGCCTTGTAAACTAATTTAAAACTTGTAGTATTTGACAAAAGAAAGCAATTCTGTAACTAGTAGCCACTCAACTTGTCTCCACGAATCTAAATATCCATTTCTGACTTCTCAAACTTCATAACCTTTCCTCAAATCAATCAAAGTCAAATCTCTTGTTTCCTGTCATTTTGGTTGAACATATTTCTCCATTTTCTTCTTCATTTTCTTCTTCATTCCCCATTTATCAAGGTTGATCGATCGTCACGTCGATTTGAACTGATAGGCGATTTGAACTGTGTGGATTTTTTTCCATTTCGAAAATACGGTAGTGCGATTGAAATCTGATTAGAAATCAGAAAATCTTCAAGAATTTGCAGCGATCTATATCAAAAGCATGATGTTTTTTCCGTTAAAAGTGACATAAGAAACATCAGAAACATCAGAAAGTATTTGACTGTCTATAACTATAAAAAATGAATAATTACATTGAAGAAAACTCGACTCAAAGTAAAAAAAACTTCTCGATTCCAAGTTTACAAATCCATTTTCACAATTGGCAGCCGTAAATCCAAGATTAGTATTTTTTCTTTTCATATTTTTCTTTTAAAACCACCGATTGTGAATTACGGGTGTTAATTGTGAAAATGGATTTGTAAACTTGTAATCGATAAGTTTATTTTGCTTTGAGTCGAGTTTTCTTCAACGTAATTATTCATTTTTTATAGTTATAGACAGTCAAATACTTTCTGATGTTTCTGATGTTTCTGATGTTTCAGATGTCACTTTTAACGGAAAAAAACACCATGCTTTTGATATAGATCGCTGCAAGTTTTCTTGAGGATTCTTTAATATAGACGCTGCAGTTTTCTTGAGGATCTTTTTATGATCGCTGCAAATTCTTGAGGATTCTTTGATATAGATCGCTGCAAGTTTTCTTGAGGATTCTTTAATATAGATCGCTGCAAATTCTTGAGGATTCTTTAATATAGATCGCTGCAAATTCTTGAGGATTCTTTGATATAGATCGCTGCAAGTTTTCTTGAGGATTCTTTAATATAGATCGCGGCAAATTCTTGAGGATTCTTTAATATAGATCGCAATTTCTGGGATTCTTTAATATAGATCGCTGCAAATTCTTAAGGTTTACCCTGATTAATCTAAATCATTATTTCTTTCAATAATTTAATCTAGATGCTTAAATTAACAATAAAAACAATAAAACAATATATTTTTAGGATTCTTTAAAATAGTCATCGCTGCAAATTTCTTGAGCGATTTTTTTCTTATTTTAGATCGCGCAATTTTGAGGATCTTTGAACAGTTTTTCAGGATTCTTTAATTTAAACAAATTTTGGTTTTTGAATCTTGATTAGAGATTTCTGAGGATTCTTTATAGAGATCGCTGTATTTTCTTGAGATTCTTTATATAGATAGCTGAGTTTTCTTGAGCTTCAATTTGATCCCACTAATTATTTCTGTGTTTAATTGAGCAAAGAAGAGGTATTTTTAAAAGAATTACGCAAAATTGACTATCCCAGGAATAGATAGCGATTGAAAAATTGTTTTTATATATTATAATGAATCTTTTAAATAACTTAAGGCTTACCCTGATTAAAGCTGAATCCATATTCTTTATATTTGATCTAGATTCTTAAATTAACAATAAAAACAATAAAACAATACATTTTTACAATAAAAAAACTCATCTTACAAATTTCTAATCGAATTTTTTTCTTATTTTAGTCAATTTTGTTGATTTTGAACAGTTTTTCAATGATTTAATTTCAATAATTTTTGTTTTTGCTTTTGAAAAGATTAGAAATCTGTATTTCTAAATCTTTATTAAATATCTTTTCATTTCAATTTTATCTCACTATATCGAAGAGCAAGAAAAAGAAAAGAACTACGCTTGTCTATCCCAGATTAGCGTTGAATTGATGTCTATTTCTAACTGTGAAAAGGCTTTTGATAAAAGCTGAATCGATGTGGATGTGGATATAGAAAAGAGATCAATGCGATTGGGCTACGACTACGGTCGGACGTGGGCGGGGTGAGGGTTTTTTTTTCTTCTTCTCCCCATCTCCTCCATCCCATCTTCTCCAGTTTGACGACTGTGATCCTAATCAAACGCGACAGTTTCCCCAATCTACTTTTTTCTCGACTCAGAAAATAAGTCAAGACGAATCCCTACTCGCATCCCGTCTATCCACCGTCTACCTCAATGCATCCGCGTACGGTTTTACTTCTTCGGGGAAATGATATCGATTTTAAAGTATTTTGAAACATCATGGTGCACGCGCGGCCTGCCTGTCAGTGTCGATTAGGCTCTTGAGTGAAGGGGGAGGGATAGGTTTTGAGTGAGAGGCGGAGATCTACCGTTTTCTCGGCAATGATACGGAGAAAACCATTGGCTTTCCCATTTCTTTTCATTCAATCTTCATTTTGAAGATGCTAACAACGGCAGCTCATCACAGCCTGCTCGCTCAGGCGCCCCATTTTGTGCCCCAAATGCCGCCACCGATTCGTCGGCCGATCGCGCGCCGAAATCGGGATAAGGGTTTGATAACTTTCAGCTGTAAAGCTTCACTCTAAGCAATCTTCATTTGCAGCTAGAAAAGTCATTGTCAAATCATCAACCTTCAAATCACTTTAAAATTCGAAAAATTGAAAAGTACTTGAAAGATTAGGCAGTTGATTTATCTTCTGATAATTTTATAGAATAGAGAAATGTTTAAGAGCTTTAAGAGCTGAAAATCCATATGAAATGAAGTCTAAACCTCTCGATTTCTCTCAATTTATACCCCTTTTCTTATAATCGAATCATCGCTAATTCGAAAGTCCAAAAAGAGAAATATAATGTTTGAATTGATTCAATTAGATGGGGAGGTTTCATTGATTTTCTGTTTTTGAATTTATTCATTTCTAGTTTCAGATGAGGATCAAAAACCGCCAAATGATCCGGACGAGGATGCGGCGGCGAGGATGCGGTTGAAGAGGAAATTGCAGAGGAACAGAACCTCGTTCAGTCAAGAACAGATTGAGGCCTTGGAGAAAGGTGAGAATTGAATATTGCAGTAAAAAATTTACTTGTAAGTCATTCCAGTACAATACTACTTACAATCTTATAGTTAAAATAGATCTAAGAATCTAGGAAGTTAGTTAAGTTTGCCAAGAGAAAAGTTAGAGAATTGAAAGTGAAATGAAAAGACTTTTTGATCAGCAGTGAGATCTGTACCTAATTTTGTCGAGGGGCTAGCAGGCATGGAATGGCCGAGTGGCTAAGAGCCTGGTCTCTTGGAAGAGCCTCGTCTCAAGAGGTCAAGGGTTCAGCCCCGCCGGCTGGGTTTTTGGGTTGTTTTTTCCAGTTTTTTTCCTCCTTACATTTAAGACTTATAAATTGAGTGCTAGGTATTATTTATATTACATTATTCATGTGAATAAATGTAAGTACAGCCATCAGTAGAATCTAGAAAGATGATGACCTTGTCGGGGCTCAAGTTACATAATAATGACCTCACCCATAGCTATTAGAGACACTGGATTTCACACAAGTTTCCAAAGTAATATTGTGAATTTGCTTTGGTTTCTTGCATAGTTTTAGCTCTAAAGATCTAAAGCATCAAGCTTTAAAATTGCTTTAATTTAATTGATTTGGATAGGATTGAAAGAGTAAAATAAAAAAAACAATGTTTTGATAGTCTATTCTTCCTAAACCCCAAATTCCTTTTTTAAATTGAAATTTATTTGTAAAAAACGAAATATTTAACTATTTAACTATTATTTTTCTCTAGTTTTCTTTATAAATTTAAAAAAAGAAATCGATAACTCATCATTTCTAGAATTTGAACGAACCCATTATCCGGATGTTTTCGCTCGAGAGCGATTAGCGCAAAAAATCGGTCTTCCTGAAGCCAGGATACAGGTAAGCTTTTTTTAAATACTTCTAAATACTTCTAACTTACTTTTTGTTTAAGAAAATCTTTGCTTTTAATAATAGCTAACTATTTTTTTCTTTTTCAATTTTCAAGTGAAAACTTTCTCGAGAGAAAACTAGTACTCTTGAGAAAATTTTGAGTAACGCTCAGCCTTGGTTTTGTCTACAAAAAAAAAAGAAAAACTTAAAACACTCTTGCTTTCTCAGTATTCAAAAATCAAAACAGAGTTGAGATCGATAAAGAATTTGAGAAAATAGAGATTTATCCAGTAGGACAATGAAATATTATATTTGAAAAACGATCATCACTTTTGCGCGTCTGTAACTCCCTTGTCTTTACCGTATTTCTAAATATTAATATTACCATTGTGTAGCCCTTGAAAAGAGCTTTCAGAAAATGTATAACACTAATAGTTTAAACTCAAAGACAAGGGAGTTACAGACGCGCGAAAGTGACGATCGTTTTTTCAAATATTTTTTCATTTATTTAAAACTCTTTTTACTTTATATAAGTTATTTTTAAGTTAACAAAACTCTACTTGAATTATTGAGTTAAATTTTAAAGTTTATTCAATTCTATCCGGCTAGAAAACATTCGATTTTTTTTTTGTATCCTATGCAGAGCTTTTGAGAAAAATTGATAGTTTAATGTTGTTAGATGTTAGAAGAAATAGAAATAGAATAATAGAAGAAAGAAACTTTAGATAAACATCTATATAAGTAGATAAAAGAATATTATTGTTTAGAGATGAGGTTTGATAGGTATCGTTTACTCCATTTCAAATCTCAAGCATTAACTTGAAGTTAAATCTATAATATAAAAAAATTTTAAAGCTCAAGCTCATCAAGAACATGAAATTTAAAAGTAATCTATTATTGAATATATAAATTTTAATAGATAAGGCTTTAAGATGAGGTTTTAATGAGGTTTTAATAGATCGATGAGGTTTTAATAGATAGTTATGATAGATAACAGTAATGAGGTTTGATAGTATCGTTTAGTTACTAATTTAAATTTAAATTGAAGCTTAAATTTAAGTTTAAGCTTTTGAAGAAGAAGACTTGTAAAGGGTAACTTGTAGAACTAGAATTTGACTTTAATTTCCTTTAATCATAGATACTTATTAGTCTATAAATTTAAATCTAAGCTTAAATTTAAGTTTAAGCTTTTAAAGAAGAAGAAGACTTATAACTGGTAACCTGTAGAACTAGAATTTGACTTTAATTTCTTTAAATCATAGATACTTATTAGTCCATAAATTTTATTTCACTTAAAATTATGATGACCATAAAAGTGTTACCATAAAAAGAAAAGAGAGGAGAGAAAAGAGTGTATTGCTCTTTTGCAACACCTTCGAGATTAGATCAAGAGTTGAGATAGGAGATCGAGAGGAAAGAAAGTGAATAGATGAGTGAACTCATAAAGGAGAAAATGAATGTCTCTTCTCTTCATCCATCAACCTCATAATCACCATTACATTGATCGATGAGCTGTTGAAAGATTGGGGGATTGATTTTGATGGATTAGGGAAAAATCTTTCTTTAAGCAAACTTTAGCATACCGTATTTTCTTTAATAGTAGTGCACCCTGATTCCTCGAAATCTCGAGAATCGCTTATCAGAACCTATCGATGTGGGGTCGGAAAATGTAGCTGACAATGAGATCTAGTGGATGGTTAGAGTGTTGAGCTTCTGGGAAAGCTTGGAAGCCGTAAAATAGTCATCAACTCGGCTGGCCGGCGTGCACTACTATTAGAGAAAAATGGTAGTCCGAATTTGAAATAAACTTTACTATTTACACTATAGAACTAAATCTAGCTTTAATTAAAGCTTGCTCAATCTTGAGAAATCTTTTCCAGAGGTACGATTGAACAAAATACAAATCTAGATATTGTTATGCAAATTTGATATTACTTTTTACCCATTTTTCTTTATAAACAATTTTACAAGTAAATTTAGAAGCTTATAATCAAATAAATAGGATTTTTTTTGTAATAGATTGATTAGATTTGTCAGAATTTTGAATATCACTTGCTTCTTTGCCTTTGCTTATTGCAAAACTTTCAAAAACCTTTAAAACTAGTTCAAATTTTACCATTTGACCATTTGGCCATCTGTTTTCAAAGAAAAGAACATCAATCTTTGTTACCGTAGGAAAAAAAAGTGGCAGGTGTCAGCGAAATCAATAGCTACAGTAGAGAAAAAGACTGAATTCAGGTTTGGTTCTCAAATCGTCGAGCAAAATGGCGAAGAGAGGAGAAATTGCGGAATAAGAGACCGGGTGGACCGTTGGATTCAGGATTGAGCAATGGGACACCTCAACCATCACAACCGGGAAGCGCTGGCTCAGCGTCAGCACTTTCACAGCCGCTTGGCGGCTCACCAGTGGCCTCCGCACAAAAGTTAGTTTAATACTATCTTAGAAAGTTTCAAAGATAGCTGAATTTCAATTATTTAATTCAATTTAAAGATTCAACGCCTTTAAAAATTCGAGTTCTTTAGGGTAATATTTATATATGAAATTTAGCGTTAGACTTAAAATTAGAAATGTTTTTCATTTCTAGATTGATTCTTATGATAGATTTGATTATTGATTTCTCATTTAAAGTCTCAGATTCAAATTTGATTACAAAAAACAAAGCTTGTTTCAGTTTTGCTTCCGTTTCTGGCCCAATGTATACTGGACTTGCGCATGATCCATATGGGTTAGTTTAAAACAATCCAAATCCATTTTTTTTCTATATTTCAGATCATCTATAGTCAATTTATCTCTTTAAAAATTGTTTTTAGTTTTACCGCCTTTAACACCGGACTCGGAATGCCTCAACAACCGCCAGCCGACTTTGGATCTTATCATCATATGTTTTCTTCAAGATATGACACCGCCTCATTTCATGTAAGGATTTTAAATCTAGAAAATTTGATATTACAATAATAAATAGATAATAATTGATAGAAAAAGCAAGAAAAAGCTCCGGAAAAGCTTAGATTTAGGCTTTTAACTTAATCAATCTTAGATTTATCAATAGAAAATAGATCAATACAGATTTAGATTTTAATTTTAACAGATTTAGGCTTTTCCAGAGCTTTTTCTTAATCTTAAAGCTTAAAATTTAATCAATCTTAGATTAATCAATAGAAAATAGATCAATAAACAGTCATCTGATTAATAAGAACGCTGAGAAACGATTAGGCAATGGTAACAATGTTAATATTAGTACTGTTCGCAGTCTAGCCAACTGGTTAAGAGCCTTGTATCTTAGTCGAGGTTCAATCCCGGCTAGATCATTGGCTCTTTGTTTCGCCAGCTTTGGGCCTAAGCGTGCTTGTGTATTGTTCTCGTGCTCGTTTCACAGCTCCAAATCGAGTACATCGTATCATCCATGTTATATCATGAATTTGTATCTAAAAAAGCTATCGTATTTTCTCTAACAAGCCAAAGTTATCTTTTAATGAAAGTTCTTAAGAAAAAAGCTCTAATTTTAGCCTTACGCTCGAATGAATCCCCCATCAGTCTCTTCACAACCATTTTCAACGACAGCAATGAGCATGTCAACAAATTCTCTATCACAATCCACTGTTGGAGGTTTGATTTTGAGGAAATTGATTTCAAATTTGATTCAAATTTGATACAAAGTGTTTAAAAAGAAAGGAATTGGTTAAAGTTTTTTAAAAGTAACATTGTCTAATTCAATCGCTAAACAATAGCAACAGCAATCTTTCGTTTTGATAAACTTGTTACTGGTAAACTGGTAAACGTTTTGGCAAGCTCAAGATCAAGCAAGATTATTTTATCAATCAATTGCTCATAGTTTAAGAAATCAATCAATTCCTTGCTCAAAGATTTCATTTGAGAAATTCTTTCCATTGAATACGGTAGTTTCCCGTTTTCTTTTCCTTTTTCCTAAACTAGCCGAGTCGCTGGGAAACCATCGACCTTGCTTCTTACGAATCTTTTGAAAATATCAAGTTCAATGGAAAAAAGGATTTGAATTTATAGAAAGGATTTAACAATGAATGTAACAATGGATTTAACAATGGATTTAACAATGGATTTAACAATGACAAAGCCTGATATTATGAGCTCCGAGTTTAAAACCTAAAACTTAACCAAAACTCTACCATTTATCTTGACTTTTATAAGATTAATCGTTCAAATAAAACGAGCTTGTTCTCATCTCATTTCTTTGCCTATTCACACATGTTTTCCCAAAACATTTACAGCTGTGAGATGGTTGCAAATCAGAGTTGCAAAAGGGGATGTTGAAAGAGAGGCGATAGGTCAAGACTTGATGGGGAAAGGGATTTTATCGTATATCCCAATCTAGAGATCCCTATCCAACAGACCACCGGAAAGGGAAGAAGAGGGCAAGAGTACAGAAATTGTTAGACTTTTATGCAATGAGTTCGATTTGAAATATCAGCTGAGAGGCCAATTGACAATCCTAGGAAAGAGTCATCAAAATGTTCATCCTATAACATTCTAAAGATTGCAAGGCAGCAAGTAGCTACCGTAAATACTCTAATAGTACATAACTTCGTACAATCGCGTAGTCTAACTCCTCATACAATCGCGTAGTCTAACTCCTCGTACAGCCACGTAGTCTAACTCCTCGTACAATCGCGTAGTCTAACTCCTCATACAATCGCGTGGGCTGACTCCTCATAAAATCGCGTAGTCTAACTCCTCGTACAATCGCGTAGTCTAACTTTTTAGAAAATCATTTCTTCCCAGCCCTAATCCCAACTACACTTTTGATACTAATACTAGATTTCAAGCGCTATCATTTCACAACCAAGCACACAATATAGCTTAAAGCAAAACAGAGAACAAGACCTTTAAAGTTAGACTACGCGACTTTACGCCCGGCATTACAAATAAAATTTTCCAACTTCAATTCTTGATTTCAGATCTTGGCCTCAGCTCATCGATGAGTCTTCCCGTGTCAGCTGTTTTGAATTCACTTGAGGGAATGGGTGTTCCACCCGGAATGCACTCCGATCTTTCCACCGATCAATCCGCCCAATATTGGACTCAATAAAAGACTTTGATAATTAGATATTTTTATGTACTTTGTGCTCAAAAAAATGAAACGACTTTCCGAGTATCTGAAAGAGAAATTGAAATTGATAAACGGGAAAACCAGGAAATTGAAATTGATAAACGCTTTGCATTAGAAAAGAAAGAACGTTTGAATTTTTTGTTAAAGTAAAAAGTACAATTTTCTAGCATTGTTATTTATTCCGATCACCTCTGACCAAATGTCAAACCTTTTTTCAAACCAGTGTCTCTCATAAAAATCATCTTGCCACTTTCTACAATCCCCTAAAAATTCAATTCGGTGATTTTTTAGAAGAGAAAATTGAGCTTGTTCTTTTTTTTTTATTATTTTTATTAAAATGGTTTTATTCTCTTGTCATTTTGATGATCTGATTGAATATTTTTTGTTTTTTTCTCTTTGATACAAAAAGTTGTGAATTTTTGACGTATCACTTAAGCTAATTTTTCATGAAAATCCGATATCCATGTTAGAAATCGCGCCGATATGAAATTCTTTCTTCGCTTGTGAATTTTTGGAAATAAATTTTGAGAAAATAACTAATAAATAGCTAAAAAATAGCTAAAAAATAGCTAATAAATAGCTAATAAATAGCCAATAAATAGCTAGCAAATAGCTAATAAATAACTAATAAATAGCTAATAAAAGCTAATAAATACCTAACAAATAGCTAACAATTTTGCAAACATTCAAATATTATTTTGAAAAGCTCACAGTTTAAGTTTAAATCTAATAAAGTATGTCATTTTTTTCGATTCAACAAAGGATAGGCAATTTGAATTTGAATTTCTATTTGAATTCATGTCAATTTGAAATGATAATTCTTTTATATGAGCTTCTTCTTCAAGAAAACTGACAGCTGACAAACTGACATATTTTAATAGGTTGGAAAGAAAGTTCTTGAGAACAAGGCTGGTTGATATTGAGAGAACAGGGCTGATTGATGTTGAGAGAACAGGGTTGATCAATATTGAGAGAACAAGGCTGGTCGATGTTGAGAGAAGAATGCTGATCGATATTGAGAGAACAAGGCTGGTCGATGTTGAGAGAAGAATGCTGATCGATGTTGAGAGAACAGGGTTGATCGATATTGAGAGAACAATGCTGATCAATGTTGAGAGAACAGGGCTGATCGATATTGAGAGAACAAGGCTGATCGCTAAGCTCTCGTTTACTTTGTTCGACAGAACCTGAAGCCAGAAAAAACCAATTATTTTAAACTATTAGGTTAGAAAGAAAGTTCTCGAAAAGTTTGACTAGAGATTTCTTAAAAATGAATCCACTAATTCAAGAAGATTTACTATTATTTACAAGTGGACTCCAAGAAATTACTCGTAAATAAATGAGTGCAGCTTTTTCTTAAAATTTTTGAGGTTTTTGAGAAAAGTATGTCTTCCAGCTCACTTTTTTGCACGAGAAAAACGATTTCTTATGGGCTTATGAGCATTTTTTAGATTCAACAAAGGATAAGAGCGTAGGCAATTTGAATTTGAATTTCTATTTGAATTCACGTCAATTTGAAATGATAATTCTTTTTTATATGAGCTTTTACTTCAAGAAAACTAACAAATACACTAATTCAAAGCCCTTCAACTATCATTAAACAAATATCTAGTGTATTTAGCAATCATTGCATAAAACTCTGACAATTTATAACTTAAATTCCTTTACTTTTTTCAAGAAAACCTTTGATTCAAACAACTAAAAGAATCGATTGACACAGAGCGTGACTCAACGCTGAGCCACGGCTTGACTCAACGCTGAGCCACGGCTTGACTCAACGCTGAGCCACGGCTTGACTCAACGCTGAGCCACGGCTTGACTCAACGCTGAGCCACGGCTTGACTCAACACTGAGCCACGGCTTGACTCAATGCTGAGCCACGGCTTGACTCAATGCCGAGTTTGCATTTGCATGAGCATGTAATTTTCGATTCTCTTTCCGAAGCTGACATTAGTTTTATTGGGAAGTTGTGTAATTTTTCGTAAAAACCTAAAAAAGAAATTTTTTGCGTTCTTTATGTGTCGCTCGTAGGAAAAAACGGCGTCTGGCACACTGCCCTTGATATGAAGTCGGCACTTGGGTAATTAAACCGGCTTCAAAAACCCAAAAATGTTTAATTTTAAGCTAAAACTTTGAAGCCTTATATTTCAGTTATTTCTAACATTTAGCAGCTAAAAACTTGAGACAATCCTTACTTTGTGATGTTCTTTCCCCGCTGTAATTTTGGAGTCGATCTGAGAAGGTACACTACTGGACAATGAAATATCATATTTGAAAAAACGATCGTCACTTTCGCGCGTCTGTAACTCCCTTGTCTTTGCCGTATTTCTAAACATTAATATTACCATTGTGTAGCCCTTGAAAAGAGCTTTCAGAAAATGTATAACACTAATAGTTTATGCTCAAAGACAAGGGAGTTACAGTTACGCGCGAAAGTGACGATCATTTTTCAAATATGATATTTCATTGTCCAGTACTGTAAGTATTTTTAGTTCCCTCGTGAGGTAACCAATAATTTTTGAATGCTCAAAACAATTTTAAAGGAAATTCAGAGCCGGTAACATATAGCATACATTTATCGAGAAGTTAGCTACTAGAAATTATCGTATAAGATAAAACGAATTAAAGAAACTGCAAAAATAAACTATATGGGGTTTTGTTGGCTTAAATTTAAGGCTGAATTCATATTCTAGAGTCTTTTAAGCCCTCATGTGCAAATTTCTGGGATTTAGTTAATTCATTTTGATCCCTGGTCAAAATCTGGCGTTTCGCAAAAGATGCGCGGTCGTTAATGAGTTAAAAAGATTGAAAAATGCACGCAATATATTGTGTTTGAAGAATTGTGTTTTGATGAGAGTTTTCTTTTGAAAGCCGCAAAAAAAACAGACAAAGATCGAGTGTAGAAAAAAAAAAGAAAGGATAGATTTTGAGGGAAAGCCTTGATTCACGTGATACAATCTCTCTTCATCTTTTTCTTTTCTACTTTATTAATTAACTAAACACTTTCAGTAACAAGATACAATTAAATGTCTCGAGAAAACTTTGTGGTTGAATTTAAGCCTGAATTGCTGGCTGCTTGGATTGAAGTGCTCTGTCTTACTAATCCAACTTACTATTAAACATGTTGGTTTACTTGTTTTATTTGTAAAGTCATTCTTAGGCCCTAGATCTTAGCCAGGTTAAGCAAGATCAAATCTAGCCCTGGCATCTAAGAGCTCATATTTTGTGAGCCAGGTTTGATGCCAAGGAAGATCAGAATCCAGGCCAGAGAATGGCTTTAGAACAACCCTGAGTCTAGATCGAAATCTTTTTAAATAGCCTTTCCCTTTTCCGAATCCATTTTTATTGAACATTCGAGGCTAATGCGCAAATTGGCACGCGTTCGCTTTTTTCGGAGTCATTTCGGAGTCAGAGGAAATCGAGTATCGAGGACAATTGAGGGATTGAAAAGAATCAAAAGGAGAGAACAGACTTCTTGGGGCCAATTTGAAAAAGAATTGAAAAGGAAAGCAATTCCCATTTGCTTTTACATTATTTTGGTTTTTTGGTTTGTCTTTGAACAGTTTGATTTGTCAAGCAGTGGAATTTTGTTGAGATTGAAATGCATTTTTGTCACAAATTTTTCCATATGGATTTTAATATATAAAAAAGATCATCTAGCAAATAGAAAATACTAAAAATGAGGGAAAAATGATTGAAATTTCGAACTGAAAACGAATTAAATCCTTTTCAGAGCTTGCTAGAGCAGCTGAAGCTGGAGAAGACTTAGCCTGAACCTGAAATGTTGTTGTTGTTGGAGCTAACTTTGAGAATAAGTTAACTAGTTAGCTAACGACCGAGAATAAGTTAACTAGTTAACCAACAACAGAGAATAAGTTAACTCGTTAACTAACTGAGTTATCAATCTTTGGATTGATAACTCAGTTCAACCTTGCTTCTCCATAAATTGCAGCTGAAGCTGGAGAAGACTTAGCCGCTGAGATCTGGGCCTGAAATGTTGTTGTTGTTGGATCTAACTGTTGGAAATTGTTGGATCTAACTTTTTTTGCAACAGAGAATAAGTTAAATCGTTAACTAACGATAGAGAATAAGTTAACTCGTTAACTAAGTGAGTTATCAATCTTGGATTGATCACTCAGTTCAACCTTGCTTCTCCATAACCTGAATAGCAAGACCAGCATCTAGACAAGACTTGAATTGATCAATTTAGTCGGTGATTTTCATTTGATTTCATCTGAAATCAAAATTCTAACAAAAAGCCACAGTTTTTTACTATTTTATTACTATTTTTAAAACAATGCTTCATCTTTTTGAAAAATCAAACCATTCCAAGTAAAAACTTTAGTTAATTGATAGGCATAGAGGTTGAATGAAGGTAATTTTAAGTATCAAAACCCAAATACCCAATCGTTTATAGCATTTTGTATGAGGTTATTACTGGAAACTCACTCCCGAATGATTGGTATTCAATTTTGAACCGCAATTGTTCGCAATTGAGTTCAATCGGTCTCAATATCAATTTCATTTTTCATATTAAGCCGTACGATAAAGTGTAGATTCTAGAAATCCTAGTTCATTACTAACAATGAAATATTTTAGCTATAAAGGGGGCAGGCCAGTCTCCGCAACTTTTTTGCGCAACTGGGTCGTTTGCGCAACTCGCTATAACTTTCTTCTAAGTCGGCCAATCTTTCTGATTTTGGTTTCATTTTATAGATCTCAATAAGTGCAACAAAATGAAACCAAAATCATAAAGATTGGTTCACTTAGAAGAGAGTTATGGCGAGTTGCGCAAAAAAAAATGCGGAAACTAGCCTACTCCTAGTTTTTACCTCAAAATTTTTCTTCTTTTCAGCAAAATTTCTTACAACAGCTCACGTAATCTACGGCCAATTGCAAGCATTTTTTCCTGAATTGAATCTCGTCGAGTTGGACCTTGAATATTTTCTTTTAATGTTAAAAATTGGTGCTGTTGG